TATTCATACTGGATAAAACACTAACAGATACAAATATTTTTTATTTTAGCTAAGAGGTGGCACACGTACAACTAAAGATTATACCTTTGACTTTGAATAGTGTATGAAGACTATTTGTTTATTGAATTGTAAGGCGTTCGATTGTCTGATCATGAAATACTTAAGCCAAGATAATTATTATTGGTATTATGAAAAATCCCTTGAACTGGATAATGTAATTTCTTAAAAAGAGATAACAAATTGTGAATATTAGAAATACTAGTGAGACGAATGTTGTAAAAACGTTTGAATCAAAAGTCTTGGACTGTATCAACACAGGAGTTCCGCAAGGGTCAAATCTCGGTCCAGTGTTGTTTCTTTTTTATATTAATGATTTGCCAGAAGAAATGCAAGACGGTGAGCTATTGATGACAGTCCATTACAAATATTTTTTGTCAGTTTTGGAATATTATAAGAACCTAGTTGAAATGAAAGAGTGTGCTGATAAAAATTAACTATTTCTGTCAAAACCCCCTTTAAAAACTGATCAAAACTGATATGACACATTATTGTAAGTTATAGCTCCTTTATTCTATAAAAGTGTCAAAAATTGAGGGGGGGGGGGAATGACAACAGAAGTGCACTCTGCGAGTGACTCATTAAACTATGTTTTTTTTTTTATAAAAAATCTTAAGCTGGTCCATAAAATATGGATTCTACTTCAGTATGGAAAATTCAATAATGCTACGTTATAAATAAGAATAAACATCTGAGGAAGTAATTTTTAATCAAGTTTGTTATTTTTAAAGTGCGCCGTGACATTTATGTTTTTACTTCGGCTATCGTGCCAACTTTAAAATTATTTTAAACAAACAAAATTACCCTTTTACAGACTATTGCTTTTCGTCTGGATTTGTGACCAAAGATTAAAACGTATTTACCTTAAAAAATATAGAGTAACATTTAAAGTAGCGTAGAACATGACACGTACAAATTATAAAATAGGATGGGAATCCTCAAATAAGTATTTCAAAGTAAATGAACACCATGCTTTGTAAAGTTTTTGCATATAAATATTTATTAAATGGAAAATCGAACACCCCGTTAACAAAACTAACGGAATAGCATTTAAATCTTTGGGTTTATAGTTACTCCCCGGGAAAGACAGGTTTCTATTATTTGTCAACAGTTCATCAACTATTGATGATTATATTTTCCCATAGGTTGGAGTATAGGTATATGTTTTTTTAAGTGGTGATAAAAACATTAAAATACCAGCGTTATAAATCCACAGAAGATCCTGTTTATTAGATTTCAAATGCTGAAGAAGTAGGAATTGAGTGTAGAATTATTACAGCAGTACAAGTTAGACAAGTAATTAATTTAACCTTTGACAAGGGTATTATTTGCATAAAAAATAATACTATAGTAAAAACTACTTTTGTCTGAGATACCGGCAGATTGTATGTTGGAAAATGCTCTTTCTTTATATATCAAATTTTCAATTATATCAAAATGGAAATGGTAGCATTGTAAACCACAGAATTTTAAATCCCCCACATTGTGGAAAAAACAGTAATGAAAAAATGTACGGTAACTTCATGGTACAGTAGCACAATTGTGACACATATTCTAATGTCCAATTGTTATTTTCAAGTAAGGCCCAATATATTACTGATCCACAGTTCAAACTTACTTTACTTCAGTATTCAATACAATATTTTAACTATATACAAGTATGTATGTTACACGTTCAGTACTATACGAGTAGCACTCGGTGGTGTTTTAACATCGCATCACGATAAAAAAAAACTTTTACAGGTCCAGAGCCTAAAATAAGATATGTTTTACTGTATTTCATTTTCATTATGTGATGGTCACACCTAGCAGTGTCTTCATAAAAATAAATCAGTCGATTTTACTATTTACAAAAAACATTTATTTGATAACTAAGATCATCATGTTATGTACAACGACAGGAGACAATCAATATTAGATCAATATGATTAGAGTAGATGGATGAATTAGATTAGATTAGATTAAATTTACTGTTACGCCGGCATTAAAGAGCGTGTAATCAAAGAGAAGAAGAATAGAAGGACGGACTTTGAAATTAAATTATAGTTTGGTATTAATTTATAATACAGGTTGCTTATAAAATAATGGGGCAGAACTAAACAGTTTTTATTTTCTGTTTGCCTTGACCAACACAGTGAGAAGAGCATGATTATACGTTTATTTTTATTTGGTTAAGTCTTGGCAACTTGATTAACTGTGGCTGACTTGTTTATTAAATTGCTACTATAACGTGACAAAAGGCGTGTATTAATTGTAAAACTTTTTTACCTAAGTTGAGATGTTTTATAAAGTAAAGATACAAAGTAATTACACGAAAAAGTGTTATTTGAATTTTGGATAAAAACTACAATTTGATAATTTTATTGATTCTACACATTTATTTATTATTACACATATATTTTTCTGTCACAATCATCGAGTGGATATAATTTAGACCCACGCCGGGATTTACATAGGATATCCCTAAAACATGGTTGCTTAAACAAGGTGTTTCTAGGTGGGCACCAAGCTTTTATGACTCAAAGCCATTCGAACTATAGAACTATCGAACTAATAGAACCAGGCACAACGAGCAAACTCAGACTCAAAACATGCATTTTATTGCTTTGAAGTAGCAGTAGTCATTCAATAAAGAATTGTCAAAGACAAAACCAAACTATACCAAAAGAATATTTCAATGGTTGGCATTAAATGCTGTGTTGCACAATTATTTTTAAACCTCCTGTATATTAGAACTATTAGGCAATTATATGTAGACTACAGTAATCAATTATTTATTTGCTTTATGCATGTTGAAGTGTCGTAGCAGCCACCTTTACTCTGTAAAAGCATGGTAAAAATAAGTTTGTAATGTATTTTATGCATTTTTTAAATTTACTTGTTCATTAGCAATAATTGTCCATAAAAAACATTAATTACTTTGAAAAAAAATGTTTGTAAAATGTCATCCTTCTACAAAAACATCGATTGACATGCTGCCATTATCTCACATGTTTGTTCGGTTTTGACGAGTTGCAGTATGTTTCTTTTCAAGCTTTGTATGAACCGTGAGCCTGAGGACAACTTGACTGAGTTAGCTTCGAAAATAATTAGTAGGGTTTATGCGAGCAAGGCCGATGTACAATGCACCTGTGTATGTGTGATGAGTGTGCGAGCGCACGTGTGAGTATGTGTGTGAGTATGCAGGGTTGAATGGGGAGGGGATGAAGTATCTTAGATCATAGGGGCGGTGTCATAAGGTCGGAGGTTAAGTCACCTGCCGCTTTTACATCTTTAAATTTTATTCCTGAAAAATATCCAAATTTGGAGGGGATTAGTGTAGATTTAATTAAAACCAGTTTTACAAGATTTCTAAAAACAACGCACTTAATCACTAAACTAAATCTGCAATTTTAAGTAGTGTTTTAAGCTAAATAGTAGATGATGAGTGTGGTTGATCATAGTGTAGCACTGCTAAAACATTTCAGTTTCAACAGGTATATTCACTATACAATCAATGGTATAAACCAAGAACGCATAAATAGCCCATCGTAGCCGTAACAACACCTGCAGAATTTTTGAATTTTAGTTTGCTTTTTTTGAGTTGTTATTTTAACCAAACCGATTCATCATATAATATAATCCTTACAAAAAGAAGTTTATAGATCCACGCCTAATGTAATTACAGGAGCTTGATGGGGTGAGAAGTTACTTAGGACTACTTAAGATGAACACAAAACTAGTTCTGTATCCTAAAAAAATTAGAAAAAGTGAAATTAAGTTTGATAAACAATTTGCCAAATTGTATGAAGACATATTAATAAAAAAACTATGATTGATCCATATATTTATAATTGATCCATACATATAATTTTCAAAAATTTACCATTAATATGGAATTTGAATTTGGACAAACTCAAGAGATTTTTAAGGTTTTGGAGTTGTTTATTTTTTTTTTTTTGTATGCAGCGAAACTTCTCCACACATAAATGGCACAACAATGCGGACAGAAACCGTGTGTAACGGAAATATTAACAGTGTTTATGCTTCTGGGATTATTAAACGAACAAGTACATTGGCCCCGGATGGTGTTATCACTATCACTACGGCAATAGCTACAACTATACTATACTCCCATTGTTTCCATTGTCCAATAAGCAAACATATATTAGTTTGAAACCCCAACGCTATCTATTTTAGAATATCAAAATCCTCAACGGTGTTTTGCCAGTTAACGATAACTGAAAAGACTATTTTGAGAGAGTTGCACATGCAACAAAAATCCTGCAACGAGTTTACCAAGAATTGTTTCGGGGTGACACGTGTATAGTTGTTAAGGTGTTATATTTCACCGGTCAAAGGGTAAACTTGGGTGGGTTTCTTCAAAGGAAAGTTTGAAGGAAGGAATTACGGAAAATGAAGCAGACGTCTTGATCAGAGAATGAGAGTGAGACAGAGAGAGAGTGGGTTAGAGGTTGGGGAGAGGGTGAGAGAGAGAGAGTAATTAGCGACCGGAAGTTGTGAGGTGACGTCATCATTCGGGCTGATCGAGTCACCAGTGGATGGACAGGACGCGGGACGAGTCAAGATGAAACGTAATCATGGCTGCGTTTTTTCGTTTCATACTTTCATATCAATAGTATTGATTCGGGCCGTCGTAAATTACATTGAGCGGGGTGGAGGCGGTGGAAGGGGCGGTGCACGCGCTGGGGTTGCCGGGATAAAACTTGAATAACATTGTTCACTATTTACAGTAGTGTGTTAAAACGAATTAAATTTTTTACCGGCACATGCGCAGATGAAAAGTGCGTGGGGGCGACGACGAATTTAATGATTTTTTCTCTCTCCACCCCTTTGCACGCGCGGGAGGGGGTAGTGCGAATCGAGGGAGGGAATCGCTCTCATTAAAGTGTACGAATATGCGATTTCACTCCCCGCGTTAGTTTATAGCTAGTGATCTCTCGACGCGGGGCAGTGCCTCATGTAGCGTCTCCGTACCGGAATTCCTTCTAAACTCTTTTCCAAATTGAAGTTTTAGGCCGTACACACTCGTCTTTCGTTCGATAAATTACAAACGTTTCGGTGCATTTTACACGTTCTAGATATTTTTTCTCCAGTTTCACTTTCTTCCGCCATTTTTACTTTCCTCGTAACTCAATAATACCGGTTCACATTTTTCTCTCAGCAATAGGCTAAAGTATATACAACCCTTCAGTACACCACTTGCTATACACACGTTAACATTCAAGAATTTTACCGATCACGACTTAAATCTCGACAAAACATCGTCTAAACGTTCAGCGTCCCAGTGTCGCGTTTGAATTTCGCGGTTCTCATTGACATCAATTTCTATGGTGCGTAGAAAATTCGGCGCATGTCGCTAGACTCCGTCAGGCGTCTATAATGGCCAAGAAAGAAAATGCTGTGATCTTAAGTTAGGATTTTTATAATTACTTTTACATATTTGGACCCCGGCTATTGACCACATACTACATAAGGTAAGTTCTTCATCTGTTATCAATAGGTTGAGTTTCTTATCGCTTGAATCCGGTTTAAAAAGACAAAAGAATGAATGACAACTCAACATAGCCTATACGCCTAGACCGTCATTTGATTCATTGTAGTTGTTGTACCGTACTCTCTCTTTCGTCTTGTTCGTTTTATCATATCGATCCATGTTGTCTTTCTATGTTGTCATTAGAGAATTACAATCAATGTTTGCCTAGTAATGTTTACAAACGTCAAATTTGAAACTAGACGATTTGTTATCAAATAGGAAACCGGAAATAGAGCTAGATAACAATCCTAGACCACTGATAAAATCAAGTAATCATAGAATGCGTCCTGTTTACTGTCAGGTTTTAAACGTGCAATGTGAAATATACGTTTAAAATATACTTATAATACTCATCTTTACTTAATATAATTAATTATTAAAAATAATTTAAGCCTACCTACTCTAAATATAGGTACTTTATGTTTTTACCAAGTTCGCCGATTATGCCTATTGATTTATATTAAAAATGCAGGAAAATAAGTTTGTGTAGTTTATTAATGAGTTAATCACAGTAAAATTTGAAATGGGAAAGCACATTGTATTTTTATAGTCGATATCATGACAAGTATAGTTGCAATCATAACCATATAATTACATTTTTTTTACTATTTGAAAGAAAACTTAACTTAAATTTTGTACCTCATATTTAACTTAAGTAAAAACTTTACCTTTGTTCAGGTCAGAACTCAAATAGAAAATCTGAATTAGGCCAGAGTAATTTGATTAAAGTATTAAATTTCACCACGATTATTTAGCCTAATTATTTTAAGTTTTAAATTGTAGCAGAATATTAAAATACAACTTTAAAACTATTCAAATGACAACATTTTTAAATGGAAAATTGTATCCACAAAAAAAATAAAAACAAAGTAGGCCTACACTTGACTTATTAAATTTATTTTAATTTCAAAAACATTATATGGGAATCTGTCGAGGTTGGTTTTCAATACCTTGTTGATAACTAAAGGAATAGGCACTAAAGGAATAGGCTTTCAATATAAAAATAACAGTTTTGATTATTTGTTTATAAAGTGTAAGATTAATATTTATAAATGAAAAAAGGAACAATATGCCTATATATTTTAGTATAAATCAAAAGTGTGTGCTTCCTCTTCGAAAACTCTGGCAGAGTATCGATTTTTGTTTATTCGTCCTTCTCTTCACATTTGATACTGTACTAATTTTAAGCTAAGTAAATTAATATTCAGACGTATTTTACTTTGTATAATATCTTAAGTCTTGGCTTTCAGTTAAGATGAACAGCCTTGTTATACCTAGTTCTTAAATTAAAGCACATCAGTTGGTTAGTCTAGGTCTGGAGAGGTTAGTTTAGGTTAGTCCAGTAAATGAAGTAGGCTACCTATTTTTTGTAAATTATCTGTCTTTATAGATTATCCCAGCCTTGAAATACAAACATCTATCAATATTAGACTATACTTCCATTGGAAACAACCACAATGACTAAAAGTAACCTTATTACTTTGTCGAACCTTTGTAACGCCCACCACAGTTAGGCTCAAAAGGTTATGATGTCCTTCCGTTTAAGTAGGCTACTGTACTGTAAATTCTTGTTTATTTTAATAAGCACTTTCAGTAAGCTCTCCGTTATTATACTTGTCGTTATTTCGTAAAAAGCTCATTTCTTTGTTGCGGAATGGGTAAAATTATTTTATTTTAACTACGCCACAGACTCAGGTGAGCTCAGTTTTTTGTTAGAATCATTAATACATCAATTACAAATGAATAGCTGACTTCAATTTTACTACTTTACTTTTAATATAATTTTGACAGTTTTCTCTATGAAAACCGCAATAGTTCCTCTCGTGTTGATACACACCGCTCTCTCAAAGTCTGAATCTAGCAGAAAGTTGATATTAGGTCACCATACTTTGCCTTGATGTGAAGTAGCACTTGATTTACCGGTATGGGTATCACCCAAAGTGTTACATGTTTAAGTAAAGTGCATACAAACAGGAGCAGTCAATAATACCCAAATCTCCAGTGCAGTATAATGTAACAGAGAATTTCTGCTCCCATTGGCGTCGCACCTGGGGGGGGTAGGGGGGGGGACATAATGGGGCACGTGCCCCCCAACTTAAAATAATCAATTTTTTAGCTAACCAACGGTAAAAATCCATCTAATAATAATTTTTTTTTTACTTTCTAAAGGTGTTACTCATAAGCTATGGTAGTTACCAAGTGTTATATGGGTATTCCAGACCCCCAGGTGTACTGGTTGTGCCCCCTCGAATCTATAGTTGAAGCGACGTCTTTGTCTGCTGCAACACATTTCAATCAGTCCTCAATACCGATACTTGATAATTTATAGGTAGGAAAAACTGGTCAATAACTGGTCTAACCTCATCTGGTCAATTGTTGATACGTTCAGCCCTTAACATACAACCTATGATAAGAAGAAGTACTAATAAAGCAATTACACAGTTATTTAAATTTTGAGAAAATACAGTGAATAAAACCATTAGGTCTACAATTCAAAATAGGTACTGGAATGGAAACCTTTCTCCCCCAAATTGATATTCAAAACCTCTCCAACTTAAAACCTGAGGATATCTGTGCTTAGATTAATTCAAACTATTATTGTCAATGTCCAAAAAATGTTGAGTCACTTTTTCATCCTATAATGTGTGAAGCATAGTGAAAAGTAAAGTAAGTAAGATTACTATAAAAAAGGATATACTCCTTATCCATAAGGATATGGACCATACTGCTTGACAAATTATTTCAGCGACCAGTTCTGTTAGAACTTAAAATGCCAAAAATAAAAGATATATTATGCATGTAAAATATAAATATTGTTTTTTTAAATAAGCAATCTTAACTCTTGTTTACTGATGACATAATCTTTGTTTGGAGGGATGCAAGATCCATACATTACTCTTTTTATTTAACTGTAGTAGGTAATAATAGATGGGATGGTGAAGGATACCAATTCAACCATGACAGAAATCTGACTTTTTAATGACTAGGACCATCCCTCTAATGTTTGTCACAGTTTAGTTTGTAATTTTCATCTATTTATCTAAACATGAACATTGGGTTGATTTTGTTAGTAACCATTGAATCACTCTCCTTAAAAACATGTTTCAGTGAAACAAACAAAATGAAATATCAAATCTTTAAAATACCCAACATAGAAAATACTCTACAATATCAAACACATTGTTAAATTAATTGCCCAGAGAAGATCAGATAAGATTGTTTTCTTGTTGAATCATAGACAATTTGAGCTTCAAACTCTTTATCCAATGTTTTAATCAAATATTTAACTGCTAAGATTGTATTCAACACAAATCTTGGATTAATGTATTCAGAGAAGTTAAATTAGTGAATTGGAAAAGTGAATAAATGGATTAAAAACTTCTCATTATACATTTTCAAAATCTTTTTTGAGGATCATGCTGATTTCTCCATGCTCCAAAAAGCATTCACAAACTCATAAAAGTTATTAGCTCTGTTTTTAGCACTCCAAGTACACGTCTCATTGTGTAGTAAAATCTTAAAAATGTTGATATGTATTTTGCTTCCCAAAGCTTGGGTGATTTCATGACCAATACACCTTTCTCCCTTTTTTAGGGTAAATTTTGCAATGTGCACTGTTACTCTCCAACACTGGACACTGGACAGTAAGCAATAGTCTAAAGACACTGTTCTACATTAGTTGAAAATTGTAAAGTTAATAAAATCAAAAGAAATTAACAGAATACATTGACACACACATACAAATATTCTAAAGGGTGCGCCAAAAATATCTGACGGTTTTTGTTTTGTGATAAGTCAGTTGTTATACAAGCTAGAGACCTCGTTGTTGTAGTGAACGATTACTTACGTTATGCCATTTTTAGGTTATGTTTGGTGAAACATCACTTCGTCGAAAGAAAGTTACTGTCTAGTGTGGTGTGGCACGGTTTGGAGTCATCGGACCATATGTTTTTTGAGGATGAAAGTGAGAACACCCCCTATCGCTGTAAACTCGGAACGTTATGTGGAAATACTGAGGGGGTTTTTGGTTCCGCAACTATGAATGTTAGGAGAGATACACATGACCAACACATGGTTTCAACAGGACGGCGCACCTTGTCATACAGCCAGTTATTCAATGACAGTTTCGCGTGAACTCTTTCCCGGTAAAGTGATCTCTTGGTTTGGTGATGTGCTGTGGTCAGCTCGATCCCCAGACTTAATTTTGTGTGACAGTTGGCTATGGGAACACTTAAAAAGCAAAGTGGTTGTTTCGAAATTTTGAACTATCCCTGAACAAGCATGTATCCGGGAAGAGATTGTTTCTATTCATCAGGCGAAGGTGACTGCAAATTTGCAAAAAAAAAATTGAAAGCCTGCGTTTAGGAGAAGGACATCACCTAAGTGATATAATTTTGCATAAGTGAAAATGGCATAGTAGTGTGTACAATATAACATTATTTATTATATCAAATTGTATTTTGTTCTTGAGTTATTTAGTATTAAAAACTGTCAGGTTATTTTGGCGCACCCGTTATCATCACAAATTAAACTTTGTTTGTTTTAACTCATTATTTGCATTAGAGTTTGGTGTTAGGTAATGAATTAGTTTTTACATTTTGCAGTTAAATCCTATAAATCTGTACTTCTGAATTCTTTCCAGCTTTACATAGTATTCGATAAGAATGAAGTCCAAATTTACAAAGTTTTAAGAGTTTGTTATCGCAGACCATGAATTGTACAGTCAGTCAATGTGTACACTTTGAGATAGTGAATCCCTCAAAATTTACAACTTGTGTTAACCAAGCATTTTACCTATTCTGCTAAAAAAGCTGATAAAAGAAGCTGATTTTAATGGCTACATGAAGGATTGCATCCGGTCGCTAAGATGATTTCTTTGTATCGTGATTTGTCACCCATCACATTTGCACATCGCCGCTATATATTGTGAAAGTGAACCCATCTACTCGCCATTCCACATTTGCCAAATTCCTGTTTTGCCACAAGTTGTGGGTGACCTTTTGAAACTTGTAGATTGGCTTGTGGGACAAAGCGAATATTCGGCGAAATCATGCTGCAACAGTCCTGAGCCTGAGAACATCTTTTGGAATTGGATTTTTAATTTTATGTTTTTAATTCCAAAACATTTTGGATCACTCATTTTCAAATGGAATATCTATAGTTAAAGCCAAATTTATCCAATTTTCAGAGCATTTCAGTTTAGAATGCACTTAAATATGTGTAAGAAACTCCTCATAAAATAGATGAGGTTTCTGTTCTGTATCTGTTTAATCTGAGTGAATGAAGAATTTACCAAATCAATCGTTCTGTATTATACCTTAAAGTAGATCATGAACTAGGCCAAAGTGGATGCACTTGAATTTAGTACGTTTTCAATTATGATAAGTAGCTGGGTCTGTGACTGATTGCTGCAGTAGATTGGAAGAACTATATTATAGTTTCCTCTGCGTCCTACAACCACAGGTAAAGCAACTAGTTCAAAACATATCAACATCTACGTTAAATATTTTAAAATTTGCTACTTGTAATAGTATTTTCTCGACAGTAAGATGTAATAAGAAGGATGCAAACACAGCAGTAAAGCAACAAGATATCTTGCACAGCTGACCTGCATTTATGTCCTTAAAAACTAAATTTTATATCCTCTCGATTCAATTTCCTTAACATGTCTAATGCTTTTTATATCCTCTTATACTTATGGCACAAAAGTTACACATGGATTTGCAAAGTACAGCTGTCCACTCCACTTACTCAATTAATGAGAGAAGTTTTTCTTGCTTTTGGTTGGAAAAACAATGATGGAGTGAACCACACTAAGGCCCATTCCACACGAGCGTGAAAACCGCGATTGAATTCCCGTGTGAAGGCACCGAATATTTGTGCAAACTACACGTGGTGGGATCACCGTTGCGTGGAGCGTGTGCGGTGCGAGAAACCTGTCGGGCCATTCTTCACTAGGCGGTTCAGACGCGGGATGGACTTGGTGGAGCTCGGTTGTATAGCTGGGATGATTCAACTCCAGTCATTCGAACTGCTTAGGAAAGAAGAGGCGATTGTGGACATATCCAACACTTTATCGAACAGCCTAACCAGACGGACATTCCATGCCATGTTTTGTGACCACTTGAGGTATAACCGGAAAAGTTTTTCCAGATGTACAGAATTTCTGTCAAGACGTTCCATGAACATGCCAACTTTGTTCCAAGTTTTTGCCTTATATTGCGATCAGAATACTCCTTGCTCTTCATTACAGTGCTACATTATAGTGCAGGCTGAGCCTCTATCTCGCGAAAAAACTGCTCGAACATTGCACCGCACCATAGAACTCAAAAGCAACTGGAACTGGACAATAGATGTCGAGGATTGAAATGCCGCGCGCGGTGATACCGCTACAGGTAGAATGGCTGACGGGATTCCAAACGCGGGATTGACACCGACAACGACGTCAACGCCGTGCTCCCGCCTACTAACACGTCCATCAGCATTGTGAATCCCGCTCGTACCTCTTTCTCAGACGAACAAAATGAGTCTTCGCATGATGCTCCAAGTCTTATGGCTCAATTTATGCAAATTGTAGTAGGACACGGAATTTCTAGGAACAGCGAAGGGAGGGCGGTATTCCCGGCCTACCTGAATCGCCGGGCTCCCAACAATAGCGTTTTTTTGACAAGCAGGTTTAGGATGGGTCCACTCCACCTGCAGACATGGGACTTCAATTTTGATTCCTATTATAGTTTACTTGTTTATGGATATACGTTGGTAAAATTTGGCAAATTTATTTATTTCATCCAATGCTATTGACATAAGGTCAAAAAACACCTTTTACCTTCCCAGTAGCAGCAAACCTAAGCACTTGTTAAATGTAATGTTATTTAAATTGGGAATAAGTCTTACTTATTGAAATATTTTAGTAAAAATGTAATCAGACAAGTTGAAATTCGCATAGTCTGCAGGTTTGCTGCGGCGGGGGTATTTTTGTTATTTTCCAGCTTTGGCTGGATTTGTGTGCTAACCTATCTTGTTTTACTTAACAGTCCCCTAACTAACATATGTTTACAATGAGTAAAAACGTACTTCAAACAAAGAATTCCGCTAAATATTTGTCTGTTTCAGGGGCCATGGGGGACTTGCAGCACTTCTGTTTGAGATGGAACAACTACCAGTCCAGCATCACTTCAGCTTTTGAGAACCTACGAGATGACGAAGACTTTGTGGATGTCACGTTAGCTTGCGACGGCAAGAGTCTCAAGGCTCACAGAGTAGTTCTGTCTGCCTGCAGTCCTTACTTCCGAGAACTGCTAAAGGTGCGTAAAGATTGAATCTTTGGGATGTTACTAGTCTAAATGTCTTGGACTTTGGTGTAAGAGAAACATGTTTGATTCATGGCATATCCACAAAGTTTTGAGGGACCACCTTCCCTTTATAGCATTTGAGTTCCGTTATTTAAAATTTAACGAGTGCCAACTGAGAATTCGCAGTTAAAAAATGTCGACAGGCTCAAAGAGAGCAAAGCCGGCCTTGGGCACTTGCACAAGGTGTGGATGCATAGGGTCTTGCAAATACGGGGGTGAAACACAATATTGTTGGGGATAAACTCTTTTTATGTGTAATGGGCATTGCTTTGAATGTTTGCAGTGGTTCCGCACCACCTAAGACCCACTCTGATAGAGTGAAATGGTTAAAAACTTTATTTGTTTGAGCAATAGATTTCTATAATTTTGTTTGCCAAAAAAACTAGTTTTATTGTCAATAAAATATTAAATTGTTCACTTCAAAGAGTAATAGGCTTACGTCCTCTTAAACTTATTTAACTACTACTGTATCACTTACATTATAGCTAAAGCTTAAGCCTGTATTTTACAGAGTACACCATGCAAACACCCAGTTATTGTGTTACAAGATGTAATATTCGAAGATTTACACGCTCTCGTAGAGTTCATCTACCACGGTGAAGTGAATGTACATCAGAAAGCCCTGCCTTCGTTCCTCAAAACAGCAGAAGTTCTGCGAGTTAGCGGCCTTACTCAACAGTCTGAATCCAAGGAAGAGGTAATGGAAGTAGATAAGAAAAATAATAACTGATAGAAACATTAGATAGAAACTTAGGATTTTGGGATTTACTAGTACTGTTACTATGCTTCACTTGTCTAAGGCACTGCCTCACCGTCCAGGGCACCGTAAATCAAGAATTGCAATTTTTGTCTGGATTGTACCTCATGAAGAATTCACCAGTCTGTGGTGAAGCTCGATGGTAGAGGCCTACCAAAACATAACATAAAACGGATTGGGAGAAAATTAATAGCTTGATTTCATTGTGGTTCACAACTCAAATCAGATATTTTACTACTGGTTACCCAACCTTACTGTGTGTGTGTCCACAATTTTTTTTTTAAGGATTTTTATTTTCAGCATTATAAGAATTGAGGAATACATGATAAAATAACATAATTAAATCAATGTACGACCCTGGGACTAAGAGGGTTGGTTAAAATAAAAAAAGTTAAATTACATCAAGTGTGTTTGATTAAGTGCATACCCCATTGTTAGTGTCTGGGTAGCCATGTTATGGTACTCTCTATATATCTGAAGGCGGAAGGTTCCAGGACTGGATGGATTCAGTACCCATCCACTTTAAATAGTACTAAGACCAGAGTTTGAACCGCTACAGCCTTAAAAAAAAAAAGGTAAAATGCTAGTAGTATGTAAGACATAAACACAAACACTACTTAGTCAATTTTTCTTTTACCTTAGGCTGGAGAAAAAGGAAAAGAAGGTTTAGAGGAGAAGGAGAACTGGCTGGCGTACAGACGCACCCCAACCACCAGCGCCCCTACCACCAATCACCCGCAGTTCAGGCATCGTGAGCGCAGACCTTCCAACTCAGAAAATACAGACACTCAGGTATTTGAAGAACTCACAGCTTGAATAAGAATGGTTCTAATTCAAATTATGTTACCTCTAAGCCATTAGGAAATAATTAAATTATTATTGCCTAATAATAACGAACAAATATGACCATCAAAATAAAGGAGAGCTGTCTGATAGTCAGGCCCGGTGAACCCGGGCCCATTGGTGCAAGAGGTTTTCGGTTTGTTGGGCGCGCAAGGTTGTGAAAAATTGACCTGCAAGGAAGGGGAAAGGGTGCAAAATTATCCCCTGGGCACGTAGCCTAACTTGTGCAAACTACGGGCCTGCTGATAGTACTAAATAATCTAACATTTTGTGGAAACATAATCAATTATCCTCTCACCTTATTATGAAGTCATTATAAAGTTTGGGAAAATGTAGTGATAAACAAGTAAACATTCTAATAAAAAATATGTTACCAGAAAAAAAAAAATTAATTTGAAAATTCTGGAGAGACATTTGTGTTTTTTTAAACGTCCAACACTAGACGTGCCTGCGCTCTGTGTAATAAGTGGCCCAAAGTGGGTATAAAGCAAGGGAATTTCATCCGGCTAGAGTTGGCCAATCAAAACCAAAGTACTTCTTTTTAATTGGGAAATGAGGGACTTATATGCAAATCGCACAGTTTAATAGGGTTCAAAACTAGTTTCCAGTCAAAAGTGAATAGAGTCAAAATGAATCTAGTGCCAATAGCCATTTAACCTCTTAAAGGTTATATTTTAAAAATAAATCTGACATGTTTAAGGCAATATTTTAGTAAAATCCAATCTGAATTCACCTAGTCTGCAGGTTTGCTGCGACGGGGTAGTTAAAATTACATTCTGTGATCAAAACAAAAATCAGTAACAGTACCGGTAACTTATCTAACTAACATGAAATGTTCACTAATATTTTGCTACGATTGACATGGTAAAGCTCTGTTTTAAAAACATCTACAAGCTACCCAACTGTCAGTCAATATATTAAAAGATTGATTTTTGACACGTAAAACTATTTACTGTACTTTAAAATATTTAATTATTTATATTAAATTTTAAAACAATGTCGCTTTTAGGAGAGCAATTCAGTTCCATCAAAGAAAATAAGGACAGAGTCCAATTCAGCTCACGAGCAAAATCAGCAGGCACAAAACAACCACCAAGACAAGGACGACTCTGAACCTCCGGTAGACTTCTCAAAAGTAAAGAAACAAGATGCAGAGAGCAGCAGTCCAGGGCCTGGGAGGGAGAGGGAGAGGGAGCGAGAAAGAGAACGAGAAGGGAGAGATGAGAACCACTCCCATGCTCCCGTCAAGTCAGAGCCTGTGGAAATGGGAGGAGGGGGAGAACCTGAGGACAGCAACGAGTCAGCTGTCATCAGCGAGCCGCAGATTGTAACTACAGAACATGATGACAGCATTCCTAGCGGACCACACCAGAACTACTTCGACAGCAAACTATTCGCAGTCGCCGGGGCTTCCTTCAACTTCAGTATGGCAGCAGCCCTAGCGGCTGACTCTTTAGCAGGTTTGTACCTTGCAATCTGTCATATATATCCATGTGTTAAAGTAAAGTCGTTAAACTTTTGCTTTGAAACAGTGCGCACCAACATAAAATCCCTATATGCACTTTCTTTAGGTGATTTTTAGGACAGCTACAAATAAATATAAGTATAGTAGTAATAAATTCTAAGACAGAAACGTAAAACAAAAGTATTATTATTTTGAGTTGATATTAAAAATCTATATAGGTACATTCATTTCCTAACATAAATCGTTATACAGTATGTCGGTTCAAATAGTTTCAACATTTGGCTCTTCTAGACTTGCATTTTTAGAGTCTTTTTTCGAAATTCGTTCTCTTCTTTGAGGTGTAGACATTCTTCTGTACTTTGCATGCTTCGAAAACACAAAGTAACCAGTGTTTTGATTGTTTTCATCTTGAATATTTGTACTTGAACTGTTTGTAGGTGAAACCGTATTTGTATCATTTGTATCAAGTACAGAAATACTATCTTTGTCACTAATTTGTTTCATCGATATATCTCTCATTTGGGTCATGTTTTCCAAGATTCCAGCTTGTGGATTTTTAGTATCTTCATTGTGAAATCGACTGCTGGAATTAAATCCTTGAAAATAAGAATTATTGTTTGCATTTTGTACTTTCATCGACTTTGTAGTTGTCACTTTTGAAAGAATACTTGTAGTTTTTCCCATACTTTTTACTGCCTTTGTAAATTCCAATTTATTGAGGTCAGCAGTTGCTATTTTTACATTTCTCTTCCTTGTTTCCTTCTCATTATCCTTTTTCTCTGAAATGTTCAACGGTTTTAAATTAACTGGTGTTTTTGGGTACAAATGTGTTGTTTCTTGAGTGTTATCAGAAGTATTTTCAACTTTAAGATTTTTTACTTGTTTTAAATTCATCTTTTTACTTCTACGACTATTTTCGGTATATTCAGACTTGCGTACTACGTTGGATCTATCAAATTCATCAACTCCAGTTGTTGTCTTGATATCCAATCTTACATTTTTCCCAATATTTTTAGAGTTATTTATATTCATGCTGTTTGCAAATTTCTTTAAACCGTACTGGTCACTTTTATCTTTTAATGATAAGCTTCCGACTTGAGAAGAAAGATTCCCTAATCTTATAGTTGATCGTCCTTTGTCGATTATTTTAGTTGGATCTTCAAGCTGACTTGCTCCACGCTGATTGGCCACGTTTAATTTTGCCTGTTGCGAAACATTAGTTATCTTCTTGCTTCTAACACTTTTTGGCGAAAAAGGTGTTTTACTTGACTTTCTTACAAGTTTTATGCTAGAACTTTCAACATTAATGGGAAACTTCTGGGATTTTACAGGTTCTGATTCATCTCGCTCTATCTTATCAAGTTGTTCCTCTGAATTAACTTTGTATTCTGAAACATTGTCCTTTTGGTTTGATATTGTTCTGGACAGTTCAGACATTTTTGAGAAAGTATTTTTTAACAAATCTAAGCTTTCTCCTACTGTAGTGTCATTTGTTGTATGGGATTTGTCATATTGTTTATACATTTTTTGAATATTTTCTAAAGCTTGTTTAAGTTTATCATCGTTTTCAGAAATTAAATTGGTCAAATCATTTACAGTTTTTCTGTGTTTAAAGCTGTAACTTGTACGTCTAGGTCCATTTGTTGTTTTTGAATCAATTTTTAAATCTTCAGATTGAACGCCCGAAATTGGTAGTTCATGTTGTTTAAAACTATTAGGAGTTTGTTTTTTGTAAAAATCCTTGTTTTCATCATTGTAGTTCATTCTGTCAATGATGGTATTCTTAGAACTTGGACCATTTTCCAAGTTTATGTTTTTTCCTGTGTACCTCAAGAACATGTCATTTAAAGACGGCAAGTCAAAATTATTCTTAGGATGGTTTCTATTTGCATCGTTTGATTTATGACTCCTTGCTTGACTAGTGTGTTCTACAGGGGGAGAAGTTCCATCATCACCAATGTCAAGGCTCTCAGTTAATCTATCTTCAAAGTTTTTATAACTCTCACACTTGTTGCTAAATACGCCTCTCAACATATTCAAAACAGTTGATTTTACCTCTGTGTAACTATTTAAAATATCAACTTCTTTGGTGTATTTATCTGTTATGAATTTGTCAATATCTCTCTCGTGATTTTCAAATTGTTCTTTGTCATTTGTTTTATCCTCTTTAAATTTATTACTATAATTTTCTGGAGTTGATATTGTTGGCTCAAAGTTAGAATTTGCTCCTGGATGTGGAATATGTGGACTGTACGGGATAGGTTCAAAATGGTTTCCAAATTTAGGGTCCTCAATAAGCGGATTTCCAAGATTTTGAGGGTATCGTAAGTACCCTGAGGCATCTTCATATTGATTTTGATGGAGTTGTGCTGTGTATCCATTGTTTTGTTGGAGTTGTGCTGTATATCCATTGTTTTGTTGGAGTTGTGTTGTATATCCATTGTTTTGATGGATTTGTGCTGTATAGCCATTGTTTTCCAAGACCCCACAAGAGCCAACCCGTCCAAAGTTATTTTTAACACTTTGTTGTGTCAGTAACTCACTATTGTTTAAATTGTAATTAGTAGTCATGCTGCAGTCTTTGAGCGGTAACAGTTTAAGTAATGATTCATATGAAATGATTCTAGCTGATTATTAATTATTTTTTAAATTTCTCAAAATCAATTCACTCATTTTATAAAAATAGCATATTTATTTTTTACTGGAAATTTCTTTGATTATACTTTATGTCCTCCATTCCTTTGTCATACCATTGATAAATTATTATTGCAGCCAGTCTAAAACAATTTCAAACCTAAAATGTCAACAGATTTTTTATTCTGTATGAATATTTGCTAGTTTATGTTATCAACGCTTTTCTGTATTGCAGGGCTCAATAATCAAGGTCACGTTGGCAGTGGAAATGAACTCGTTCCTGCAGGCACCTCCCAAGGTAAGAGAAAAATGTATAGAACCTGCAAAATGATAAATTATCAGTAGATGTACCATGTTCAATAAATTTGTTGTCTTGAAATGGTAAAGGTTGAACTGTGGTATAGGAAGTGGCTGGAAAGTAACGACTCAAATTTTTGGTAGGCCAATCAACAGACGGCGAAGTTAATGGCATCATGTTTTATAATAATCATCTGTTATCTCATTTCCCATTTACATTCCACCAGCTAAAAACCATAGTCCGTTCAAACAAGGTACAAATTTGGTTCCTGTCACATCTTGCTGAGTTTCTTGGAAGAAAAATGTTAATTATATGAGGGAATAAAAAGATCAGTGCAGACTTTGCCATTCCATTGTTGATTTATTGAGTTTAGTAGTCTTGTGTACTAAGGTTTTCAACAGCAGAGGGGTTTTCTGTTAAATTTAAAATTTCACAAATAACCTTTCTTTGTAGTTCTTGAAGGATTGTTGAAATTTGAGGCATTGGTACAATTTGTATACAAACTTACCTTAACCGAATATTTTTATGCAAAACCAGTCTCATTGACTAAATTAATTTGTCAACACCTACAATCTGATTGAAAACACAACAGTACTGTAATCATTAAGGATGGAGTTGCCTATTTATTAATTTTTATGTTTTTAACTGGAATATCTATTGAAAACGTTTATGCCATCTTTCCAAAGTTATCGGATGTGTTTAAAAGACTTTGTATGTTTTTAAAATACTTGTATTTGGCATTCACTCATAGCATGTAGGGGCAAACATCTATCACTTGCGGATTTGAACAGTTTTACTAAAACATTTAAGGTTTTAAAATTTTATGTTCAATTAAGACATACCATTTAGACACACTATGCAGAACACAAGATCTGACGACAACAGGCCCAACAGGGGGTATTTACTCAGGGGAGGTATAGAAGAGCCTACGATGATAGCTGTGGACTTCTTATTAGCTGAAGGAACGCCATTACCGTAACAATACGATCTGTGGCCATTGGCCTCGGTAGTCTAGTGGTCAGCGTGCCGGGCTGATATGCTGAAAGTCCCGGGTTCGTATCCCGCTGGTAGCATTAACATTTTGTCCAAGATTTTTTCATTATCAGCAAGTTTGGTTGATTTGGTTATGACAGTTTAACTTTATTATTAAGTCATTATAAAATTTTAATTGAGCAATTTCAAGTTTTATTTAATAAACAGAATTATTTTTTTATTACTTAACTTTTGTTATATTATTTCATTATGAGCAAGTTTGGTTAGTTCGGTTAGGTTATGATAGTTTAGTTTTATAATAAAAACATTATAAAATTGAATTTGAGGCATTTATAATTTTATTTTATGGCAATGAAGGTTTACTACAATGAACATTTTATGAACAGAACTATTTTTGCAATTAGTAAACCTTCATTGCTCTCTACTACAGCGCTGTTCACGGAGGAATTTTGAACTAATGCCTCATTCGTACCTCCCCTAAGTCAGACCCCCCAACAGGGCATGTGAACAGGCTACAGTTTCAAACACAACAGAACTATTGTTGACACTTTACAACTGTTGTAAAGCTAGCTGGAGAGTAAGGGGGATGTTTGGCAACCAGACCATGACACATTTGACTTTAAAGATATGTAGTTTTCAAATTGATCAGCCTTGACACCTTTAATATCGACTTTAAGCCTTAAGGATTGTATCGTTGGGCTTATGAAAAAAATATTCCCGTTACTTTCTTGGCACTTCTCAAATTCTAGAACAGTTTAATTTTGATGAGTCCACGTCAATTGAATGTTATTTTACTATTAATACAACAAGCCAATAACAACTTTTATTATAATAATCTGCAGTGACTGTGAGTTTTAAAAATACATCATAATAATAAATCAATATCAATATCGGTACTAATCATAGCAGTGAAGAGATCCAATTTTAAACATTCAAACTGAATATTGATGGGGTTGAGATGCGATTAAAACACAGCGTTTTAGACTTTTGTTGGTAATTTTTACCGCAAGTCATAGATTGGCCTATTGGGACCTTCAAATGGCTATGTTTAAGTTTATGGATGTAAAATTCTATTGATAGCTATTAAATGTTTCAGCACATATTTTTCAAATTTCTTTACAAATACGCTTAATGAATTTTATTAATGACTTTTTGTCATCAGACATCATAAATAATAATAATACAAATGTTTAGCCAACGACGTTAAAAGCAGAATGGATTTATTTTACTTTGATATATTTCAATTAACCTATTAATTATTACAACCACAAATTCATGCAAACTGTATTGGATAAAGAGGAATATTGATTGTTATTTTATTGTATGTGTATTGCAACATTGCATTGCTTTAAATAAATTTTATAATAGAAAAATTATATTGCAATTATATATTATATTGCAAAGCAGGATCAAAACTTGATCAATATTCAAAGCTTGATTTTTTTTGTTTGATCAAAGTAAAGCATACTGGTAACTAAATCAATTGGTATTTAATTACAAAACCAAACCCTTATTTTATAATTTTTAGTAATACTATTTTTTTAAGCTAATCCAAAAAAATGTTAGTTTTATTTTAAGTTAATCATAACGGCAGACTCCAGACTCTAAAAGTACAAATTCAGTAAGGTGTTAAAAACCTTAAATTTGTTCACTTCATTGAACTACAAGGAATAATGAAATATTTAACTATGACAGTGTTCAATATTATTAACTCACCTAAACTCTAATTAATCTCTCCATAAATATTTAATTTAAAAAGCTGACAAATACAGAAAAATCACAGCGTTCAAATAAACTGGCCTTAACTCAGATTAAAAAATGTTGAATCTACTATGCTTTCAATATTTCTTATCATTGTATAGTTATATTTGTGATTAGATTGCTCATTTAAGATAATATTTAAAGAGATAAAAGTATCTCCCTAACTTAGTTTTATCCAGTGTAGTGTGGTTGTTGTTTGAGTAATAATTGTTGTGTAATTTATTAGCATAATGTAAATAAAAAAGATATGTGCCATTTTTCTAAACATTTAGGTATCACATTAGGTTATTTTACTTAAACAAATTTGCAAACTACCTAAACTTGTTTTGCTACTTTAACTCTAGGTTCTGCAGATAGAGATAGATAGAGGTTTACCGTGCCAGAGGAGTCAGGTAAACCTTTTGAATATTGGGGAAAGATAGAAAAAGAAAAAGGATATCTAATAGTGAAAACGATATCATGGAATCACAATCTGATGTTGTGAAAAAAACTGGGAAAAAAGTGGCAAAGAAATTGCATGGGACTGGTAATTCTGGGAAAAATCCTTCGATCAAAACTGAAAAAGATAATTCAGCAAATGTAAGTAATAGTAAGAAAGTATATAAATATGGAGAAGAAACCTCAACAACTTACAATGAGTCATCTGAACTTGCAAACTCAACCTCGTCTAGCTATTTATCCTCGTTTTTTAGGTCTGTTACATTGTTCGTTCGATCAGAAACATTTTTAACAATAGCAAAAAGAGTTTGGCTTACACTATTTTGTGAAGTTATTGCAAAACTCATAACCAACCTATGTGTGAAATATTTTAAAACAAATAACAAAAAATTGCGAGACCAGTCCGATGATTCTAATTTCAAAACAACTCCAGTTTTTGTTTTAGCCAATGGAAACTCTGGATTGGTGAACAAGGGTTTATCACCCGGTCTTGGACAAAATGCTCCTGCTCAAATTCCAGATGTATCAGTTGATGAATTCATCAAGCAGTTAAGTTTAGCTGTTAGACAAAAATCCAATGCCGATAAAGAAACCAAGCCTAGTGAGCAAACAAACAATTCACCTTTAAGTGAAACTGTTAGACCAATGCAACCTAAAAATGTAATGACAACAGTTGATAGCAAGAACAAAAGTGTAGAAGTTAATGACAAAGAGATCCTTAGGAGTCCACTATCAATCATTATCCGTAATGAAAAAGGTAGTGCGAGTGAAAAAAACAAAATTGGTCCGACATTTAATCCCACTCCAGCTATATCTACATTAACTGTAAATAAAGTTTCTAGCGAAGAAGAAACTAAAGATAGATCAATATCAACTGAGAAAGAAACTTATAGGAATGAAGAACTTAAAGGTAGATCAACCACTACTGACAATGAAGATCCTAGGAATGATAAAACTATGGACGGATCAACATCCACTGAGAATGAAAGTGCTAGGAATGATGACACTAAAAGTAGACCAAGTAAAACTACTGAAAATGAAGATCGTAGCAATGAAGAAACTGAAGATAAAGCAACTACTACTACTGAAAATGAAGATATTATGATTGAAAAACCTGAAGATGGATCAACTACCACTACTGTAATTGGAAGTCACAGGAATGAAGAAACTAAAGATATGCCTAGAGTATCTACTGGTACCTCAGGCAGCAGGATAAAAAAAACTATACATACATTAAAATCTACTAATGATAACAGTTCTAAGAGTACTGAAACCAAAGATTCGACATCTATAGAGAATATAAGTTCTAGGAATGAAGATACTAAAGGAACATCAACATCTAACAAGAAAGAAGATGCAACAAATGAAGAAACTAAAGTTACATCAACATCCAACAAGAAAGAAGATGCAACAAATGAAGAAACTAAAGTTACATCAACATCCAACAAGAAAGAAGATAAAAAGAATGAAGTAACTAAAGTTACATCAACATCTAACATGAAAGAAGACACAAAAAATGAAGGAACTATAGGTACATCAACATCGAACAAGAAAGAAGATGCAAAGCATGAAGAACCTAAAGTTACACCAACAACTAATAAGAAAGAAGACGCAAAGAATGAAGAAACTAAAGTTACATCAACATCTAATATGAAAGAAGACACAAAGAATGAAGTAACTAAAGTTACATCAACATCTAACATGAAAGAAGACACAAAGAATGAAGGAACTATAGGTACATCAACATCTAACAAGAAAGAAGATGCAAAGAATGAAGAACCTAAAGTTACACCAACATCTAACATGAA